TTTTGGTACAGGGACCTTTCGGTTTCCGGATCCACAGGGGAACCGACTAATCCAGAATCGAGCCGGGTAAGACCACAAGGGCGGCAAAGATCTCCCTCAAAAGTTTTTAACACTCTTGGGTATAATTATAGATTACTTCACAAGTATATGTTACTAATGACGGAATTTACATATTTGGTAAATATTGGCCAACTTAAACATATGTATGTATGAATATATATCATTACAAACACTAATTCAAAATTCAAAAGAACAATAAATTATTTTTCTAAAAGCAATTATATAATTTTGTTTTGTAGATTTGTGGATGTAATTTGTATTTTGTAGATTTGTGGATGTTTGTAGTTCACAAAACCAGCGCCGTTTGACAGAAATTTCATCTTTAATTGTTCAATATTGGCTAACTCTAAATATGGGGAGATGCTATACCGTCCGTCACAGAACTATTCTGTCGGGGTTTGCAACCGTTAATTAGATCAATTATCCTTGACGGTTACATGATGATCTAACGGTTATAAATCCGACGAAATGGTTCTGTAACGAGACCGTATCATTTCCTTTGAATACGATTATTATAGTTACATTTTTTGGTTAATATTGATTAATTTGATGAACCAGCGATCTATCTTTTTGTTTGATGAGAAAAATTATAAACATTAGTTTCATGATTCAGTTAAAATAGCTCGCCCTATTATGCAAATTATTAACCCTGCAAACCAAAAGCAACCAAAATGAAATCATCATGTAACAAAAAAAACCCAAAATCAATAAACCCTCAGGACTCAATGACAATATATCAAACTTCATTCATATATACATGTACACAAATCAATCAAATCCCGAATCAATGAACCCTAGCAATCACCACCGTGATGTCATCCACTTTCCCCCCTCTCTTCTCCTTCCCCGCCCTCCGAGCCTCCTCCGCGAATGGCGTCTCACCGCTGTACCTATCGAACGAGTTGTACAACGCCATGTTTGCCAAATAGCAACACTTCTCGGCCAGGTCATCATCACCCAAGCCCACGACATCTGCAATCTCCCGCGCGTGCACGTTATCGAAAAGCCCGTCGGTCGCCACCACCACCACATCACCCCTCTCGACTCCCCTCACCTCTATCTCCTCCGCCACTTCCGGTCCGTCTTTTGTAATCCCCAGCTGGTACGGGCAGTTGAAAGACCGCCGGCCGACTGGCGACCGGTACACCACCCGGCCGCCCCTCACCACCAAGAAACCGCTGTCCCCGACGTTGGCCGCCTGGAGAACGCCGTCAGCCGAAAGCTCCACCACGCACGCGGTGGAGGAGCCACTCGCGGTGGTCCTCCGGTATGCCTCCTCCAGGACAGCCTTGGGACCGCCGTCGCGGCCAGACAGGACAGCGAGCAATGAGTTGTGCATGAGCTGGCGGGCGTACTCTCTGGAGTCGACACCGTGCCTCCGCCAACCTCCGACGCCGTCGGCCACGCCGACAGTCCGGCTCTCGGCGTGGATGAAGTGGGCGTCGTCACCCAGCGGATGGGTCGGGTCGTCTTTGGGTATGCAGATTGCGGCAGCCGACATCTTCAACGGAAAACTAAAACGCCAGATTGGAGCCGGAAAAGAGAGTTTCGTGTCGGCCGGACAGAAAGCGAGCGTCGGGCACATCCGGTAACCACCGTGCTGCATCTTGATATTCGGTTTTTTTTTGGTATGTAAAGTGGTAATGACGGGGAAAGTTTCCTATTATGTAGTATTATACTGGTCTGATTAATTTAGTTAGAATATTTAATTTTTGTTGTTTTGCTATTCATTTTAGGGCTAGGACTTAGGATTTCTTTGCATTATTAAGATAATACCTTTTAGGGCTAGGAATTGGGATTTTCGTTTGTATTATTAAAATAATAATTTATATGTTGGGGGTTAATTAAGGGATGATTAGTTTAGTTAATTTAGATTAGATGATTGCACCAAAAAAAAAATTTAGATTAGATGAAGTAATTGCGTGAAGTAAATCACCAAATATTTTTTTTATTAGTTCATATAAAATATTGCAAATTATTAAGAGCTGTTTAATTTTCTTTTTTTCAAAATATTTTGTTTTATGTATCTTAAGCATTAATATAATATGAACATACTTTGTATTTGTACTTGACGGATACATACAACTTTTTTTCTTGTAGTATTTTTACATGTGAGTATATATATCTCAAATTAGTTATAACATTTTAATGAATTGCAATTTGTGAGAAATATAATATATAATTCAAACAAACTGTATATTTGACATTTATTCTATACTTTATTCATCCAATCCAAGTGATTTTTCGTTCTTAAATTTATTTTCATAAGAGAATATATTTTTTAATTAAAATAATTATTCGCCAAATAAGTAATTCTATTTATTAAATAATTACTTCTAGATATAATTATTTATCGCAGAAAAATAAATAACGTGTACTTGTTGGTAAATAAGATTACAAATAAATGAAAGGAAAAATTGCACTATTCGTCCACTAACTATACCCTCGTTGCACTTTCGTCCTTTAATTGTTTCTGATTTACAATTGGTACACTAAATTTTTTTTTTTTGGTAATTTTAGTCCAAAATTACATTCCAGTGCTCATTTTCGTCGGAATAGCTGATGTGGCGCCTAGTCAGATCAGAATTTCCATTCTCGGCGTGATGTGGCACGAGGTGACGCCTAGTCAGATCGGAAAAATTGCGCTATTCGTCCACTAATTTTACATTCGTTGCACTTTCGTCCTTTAATTGTTTCCGATTTACAAAATCAGAAAAAAATATTAAAAAAATCAAACAAAAAATAAAAACCTTTAAAAAGAAAAAGAAAAAATCAAAAGAAAAAGAAAAAAATATAATTTTTTAATTTAATAAAAAATGAAATATTTAATGATTAAACAAAAACGAAATATTTAATAAAAACGAAATAAATTTATAATGAGTGATAAATATTTTTTATTTAATGATTAAGTATTTAATACAAAAACAAAATATTTAATAAAAAATGAAAAATATTTTTTTAATAAATATTTAATTTTTCATTAAATATTTAACCATTAATAAAAGATATTTATTAAATATTTATTACTCATGAAAATATTTATTTCATTTTATATTTTTTTTATTAAATATTTTTTATTTTTTTTATTTAAATAAAAAATATTTTTTCATTAAACAAAAAAATGATAAATATTTCTTTTTTATTAAATATTTAACCATTAAATAAAAAATTTATTTCTCATTAAACATTTATTTTGTTTTTCATTTCGTTTTTTAATTATTTCGTCTTTAATTAAATAAAAAATGTATTTTTATTTTTTAAAAAAAAGAAGATATTTTTTATTCATTAAACAAAATAATTTTTTTTATTAATTAATATTCGTTTTTTTGTTAATTTTTTTATCCACGTGTATTTTCTTTTTCTTTTTAAAGCTTTTTCTTTTTCTTTTGATTTTCTTAATATTTTTTTTCTTCTGATTTTGTAAATCGGAAACAATTAAAGGACGAAAGTGCAACGAATGTAGAGTTAATGGACGAAGAGTGCAATTTTTCCGATCTGACTAGGCGCCACCTCGTGCCACATCACGCCGAGAATGGAATTCCGATCTGACTAGGCGCCACATCAGCTATTCCGGCGAAAATGAGCACCGGAATGTCATTTTGGACTAAAGTTACCAAAAAAAAGAAGTTAGTGTACCAATTATAAACCGGAAACAATTAAAGGACGAAAGTGCAACGAGAGTATAGTTAGTCGACGAATAGTGCATTTTTTCCTAAATGAAATTATGAATGTTCATTTTTTATTACTTGTTATTATACAATTTGTTTTCTTTCTGTTTCTTTAAATTGTTAAGCGAGTATTTCATTTATATATATGTAAGCTTTAAAATTATGCAGTTCTTTATAGTTCCATTTTATTTGTGTCTTGTAATAATTCTCTTATGATATTTATATTCAATACACAATCTCTAAAGTATTTTATGTCTACGTAATAATTAAAATAGATAAAGCCTTATTAAACTACAATCTGTAAAAGGAACTGAACGTAGGAAAAAAAACTGAAAGATGCAATCTGTTGCCTTAATTACACACATCTCGTAACCGTTTTTTGTGGCTAAAGTTTAAGAGTTATGGATGATGAGACAGGGCATTATGATATGAATATATAGCTAATAGCTTCTATGCAACATGTGAAAGAGTAGCTCTCCATCATTTTCCTATCACATGCATTCAGAATTGTTTTGGAATGTTGTTTTTTATTTTTAATAATCTTTTTTTTAACTAAATGTTGTTTGATTCATGAGATGTAAACTCTTAAAAACAATATTTTTCTAGGACTACAACGACTTCCATTACCCCCTCAAGGGATGGCGGCATGGCTTGACCACGACTCACGTGGGGTGGCTCACCCCCGCCGCGTTCTAGCGTAACCTTAGGCCCCCGGCCTCCTTCTTTGTACCAAAAAAAAAAAAATATATATATTTTTCTAGGTGAATTCTGTTACAAATCGGCTCACATTTTCGGGCCAATGTTTAACTTTTGGTTCGAAAGCGAGCCGATAAATGAATTGAGCTTACTAAACGTGTTGGGAATATCACTTGTGAGTTGTCCCACATTGATTTGATAGGGTAAATGAACCTAGTTTATAAGTCTAGTGGGCTACTCCTCTCATCACCAATTGGTTTTGGGATGGAACCTCACTTGGGCTTCATTTGGGCTAACTCTCTTATGGTGCGCTTCACCTGTGTGGGACCGCACTCGTATTGCCCCCGTTTGACAAAACGCACAATGGTCTCGTGTGTGTTTGCGAGAAAATTTTAATATGATAGTATCCGAAGTTTAAGTAACTCAAAGTATGATAAGTTTTACGAATTTCGTCTCACATTTTTTAACCGATATCCTAGTTTAGCAATTTTGAAAAAAAAAATATTTATATAAAATACAATTTTAATCCAATAACTTTGTCTATTATCATTTTAGCTTAAAATAAAGCTTTTTATATTTTAATTTGGTATATTACATTGTGAATTCTGTAACTGTATTATTATTAGTTGTCCAGACAAAAATTGTTGTCATACATGTGAAAAGGAAAAAGGAGAAAAAATAAAATAAAAAATAAAAAATTGTTCTTGAACTTATTATATTATTCATGAGGAGAGGTAGCAACATATAAGGCACACATCAACCATGGCAGGCCCACGGTAATAATTCTCCGCAGCCCAATCCGTACCCAATGGCACGA